AACTGCAAACTAATGTAAATCAACATGTAACAGTATTATATTGTGCACATTTATTTATTTAAGATACTTTGTAATAATATTCCCTTATAATATTATATTATACGGAAAGAACGATTCTGTTAAAAATGTATAAAAAATGTCTAAAAATTTAGTTAGATACAGATCAGAAAATAATTTTGTGAAATTATCAAAATAATTAATATAGAACACACAACTGATTACTAAAAAATATTACAAACATTTGCGCAGGATTGCTCATCATGTTTGTATACGTTTCCGTACATATTTATAATTACTTTTATAATTTAACAAAATTATTTTCAGATCTGTATCCCGCGAATTTTTATAAATATTTCAGCAAAATCGTTCCATAAAATAGTCATAATTGCATCGAGATTATCCACTTCTGAAATTATTCTTATTCTGAACTTCAATTGAATAAAAAGTTTTTACACGACACTACTTTTCCACATTCTTACGCGATTTTGCATTTTTGAAAAACTATGCTCACGGTTATCCTGTTTGAAGAAAAATCGCCGACTTTTCGCGTATTTCAACATGCGCGATGCTCACATGTTACTGTCAAGTTTAAGGTCAAGCAAAAAACGCTATTTTCCAGCAGTGGCTCAGCGACGGACGTAAGAGGATTAAGCTAGTTTTCTTCCCGCCGGATTTGGTGCGTCGCACCAGCTGCTGCTGCTGCTGTCGCCCACTTTCTGCTTGTTTCGTTTCCTTCTATGACGCACGATGATTAACGCAATTAATGTGGATTTTCATCCACCTGTCTGCCATTGGCTTCATATTTGGCGATCACTTAGTTTAACATTGTTCGATCGTTCTTCAAATAAGGTTTCTTCCGCAATCATCGTATACTATTTTTAAAGCATTAACATAATATTATAATAAAAATCCTACAAAACTATCAAAATCATACAACAGTAATACATAGTAATTTTCAAACTATAAACAAAGTTGGTCAACGTTGCTCGATCTCTGATATGATTAATTATCCAAATTATACTTGCATTGTTTACACATTGCTCAAATTAGTATATTTGTGCTAAAAACAAACAATATGTCGAACAAAGATTTTAATTATAAATAATAATCAAACAAGGAACATATAAGCCTATCGCTAGATGTTTTACAAAAATGATTCTTTATTAACTATACACAATACAAATACATAAAACGTTTTCGACCAGCATTATTAGGTCATCCTGTATACCGAAAATTAATATTTGAAAAGTAATTAAAACACATAAAACGATCAAAACGATTAATTCGATAACAAGAAAAAGTAAGATAATCAATTATTCACCTGCTGATCCGCCGTTACTCGATACCTCTCACAAATTGTCGGATCTCCTCCTTCCTCTCGGATTTTTTCACTACACACACACACACACACACACACACACACACGCACATATATGCACACGAAGCACACAATAGCGCAATTCTTTTCACTCCCGACGAACCGTACGACGAAAACTTCGAAAGCGATGCGTCATGCTTTCAAATTTGAATACAGAAAAGAAGTTATCAAGGAAATATGCATCGCCCGTAAAAATCGATAATTTTTAATTTTCTCCATCGCGTCGATCGCGAACAAAATATATCCAGATAAATAACGATCGTTTCGCTATGCTTACAAGTTGTTAATCGTAATGGTAATTATTTAGAATACCCTCCCCCTCCCACCTGAAATCTTAATGAAAATACACTTATTCGATGTGTTTTCACTCAAAACGAAAGACGAATAAGACTCTGGCAAAAATAATAGTAATAGTTAAATGCATGAATCGATTGCTAATTTGAATAATCGTCAGGAATGATCGCATTTTAATAGAACAATCATTAATGTAATAAGTACGGCGAGCGGCTCGTATCGCTGCCTGCCCGATCGAGTCTCACTGTGCGAATGATACCGCAATGCACGACCTTGCGTAAACACAACACCACGCGCCGTACGTTGTGCGCCAGCCAACTCGTCGCCGTTACGAAATATACGTATTTACTATTGTAAAATATTTAACGTCGTTCTGCTCCGTATATTTCCGATTAATTATGATATATCGACTATTACTGCACAGCTTGCGATAAGCTTTTTGCAAGATTTCGTTCTAGAGTCGGCGAGTTCGTTTATTATCGCGCTCTTAATTCGAAGACAGTAATACCCGTTTCTATCAATGTAGATTAACTTTAATTTCGGTTCACTTTACCTTTCCATCCTTTTTTCATTTTTAGAACTAGAAAAAGATGAAGAGTTAGTTAAATCAAGATTAAAGTTAAATTACATCGGTAGAAACGGGCATAAGTGAATTACGTTAAGGAGGTTGTAAGGGCATAAAACATATATATTAATATTTTCGCTTTAAACAAACTACATACATGTGAAAGTTGTGTTTATAACATTCTGGTTTTATTGAGCAACACATTTTTATAGGTTATTTATTTTATTTGTTATTAATTTTATTGTTATAAACAAAAATTGTTAAAATAATAAGAAAAGTCTAAATGTTTTTATATAAATATATTAAGTACTAAACATGACTTATGCAAAGTTTCATTGAGAATTCAACATTAGTTTATAACAAATAACAAATTTTATTTATTTACCGAACAATTAATGTCTGCATCTCAAGATAACTTTACAAAAATGTTGTTGAATTCCTAGAGTATTTATATAAAAAAATTGAGATTTTTATCATTATTTTATAATACATTTTCATATATTTATATTAGAGTACAAATTTAAAAAATATTACTACTTATTTAAATAACTTTTGATCTAGATGGTCAATTGTTTCTATTTTTTTTGTATTATTATTAAATGAAATTTAGAATAGTCTATAATTTTTTCAAGTGGTTCTTAACATATTGCATTTGCCTTACAACCTTCTTAAACAGTGTCTGTATTCTGTAATCTTTCAGTAACAAAAGTGCCGTTATATCGTTGCGCATGTATTGTGTACGATAAAAAAGCTGCACAATAATAACGACAACGAATTGTTGTTAAGAATTACAAAATACATAGACACTGAGATCTGTTCGAATCTATTTGACTCAAAATGTATTTTATTTTCTTACTAATATATATTGTTTAAAAACTTCTTTCTCCGGTATTTGATAATTTTGTTCGTTAATGTAAGAATTTTTTCGTAAAATTTTTTTATTTTTCATTTTTTACAGCTTTTATTTACATTGATCCAAACAATACGATTGTATAATAAATTTGAACAGACCGTTAAAACGATAAAAAATCGAAATCGCGTATAAATCTGAATACACGAGAAATATATGTGAAATATATACCGAAATTCAAATATCGTTAAAGAAATGCGTAATTATTATTATATTTATATTAATTGCCTGAAGTATTTGAAGACTCGATACACACATACATATATAAAATATAATTAAAATATATCAAGTTTTCAAACAATATCAAAATACATGGCATATAAAATTATAATTAAAATTCTGTCATGAAATCTGATGCGAATTGTATAATTACGAATCCCCTAAAACGGGCTTTAAAATAGAAATTAAATAATTCGCGTATAATATTTTTTCTTATTATCATTTTCATTAATATCCTATTAACATATACTTATTAATATCGATCAACTGCCATATGTAATATTTAAACACAAAAAAATTGAAAAACAAATCAACGAGACAATAAAAATTAATATCAATTATTACAATTAATATTGAATGACAAATCAATACGCGTTTAAAAGTAATTGTAGATTTAAATAAATTTTATATGTAACATTAATCAAATTTGACCTTATAATTCGAAAATTATTGCAATTTCAATAATTTGTAGTTATAAAATGTTATATTATTTTATAAAAAAGATTTAAACTTAAAATCAATTATAAATTAATAGTTTAAATACTTAATTCTTATTCTTTTAGACCAAAACAGACAATAGGTAGAACAATGTAACACGTAATTATTTTAAAGGATACATTTATGAGGCTCTAATACATATATATGAATAACTCTTAAATCAGATAATTTTTTTGCTGTTCTAGTACATATTTCTGATTGCAAAAAATAACCTTTCATTCAGTTGATACTTTTAACAATACGAATATCTCCGACGTTATTTAAATGTATAGTTATTATATTTGCATAGTAAAAAACTTCACATATTCATAGTTTTTAAATTATTGAAAAAAAACAAATAAAGGTTCTCTTTGCGCTCTAACTAACGCTAACCACTAGAAACTAATAACGAGAATGCTCTGAACGATTATTATACAGCATATTTTTATTATCTATAAGAATATCTATTCTGCGTATACGTTAAATCTCAGACTTTAACCTGACAGCACGCTTGCGATCTAATTGAATATTTATGGGGTACGTATTCTATCGATCTTTTTATACGTGTTCAATCTTATGGTCCACCGTATTATGTAGGCCGATCTTTCTTACTTTACTTCAAGTAAAGAGGATAGGATCAGATTAAAGTTTTTGCGGGACGGTCCACGGAAAAATCGATATACCAACTCTGTAACGAGAAAGCGTTCTCTAAACTCATCTCAGGATCAAGCCGGATTAAATGCGCAAAGGATTAAAAATTACTCAAGCATTGGATTACGTCAACGCCGAAAGGAAATTATTTTACATCATCCACGTTATCTCTTTAAAGTCGTTTACGCACAAAATGCTGTACATATTAAACAGAATATTAAATTATATGGATTTCGACAGTTTTACAAAATCTTAAATTTTGAGATTGAATAAATACATCTTGTCTATAATAAATTAAAGATTCAATAAATATTGTATTTTCAAGAAATTTTTTATATTTGTGATATTGATGTTCGATTTAACTATCGTGCTAAATAATATATATTTAGTAATCATTTCCAAAGTGTATTATATTTTTTATTTAATTATGTTAAAACGCACTTTTAGTGTACTGTAATAATAATATTAATTCCAAAATAGCGATTAATAAAATTTTAGCTACTTACAATATGTGCTATTCGATGTGGCGTTTTGGCGCGATAGTTTGACCTGCAAAAAAGAACAAGAATTTTAATAAGATTTCTTATACGTACATATATTACATTAGAAATAAAGAAATTAAATTAACAAAACTACCCTTTGCTCATTTTTCAAATTTTCCTTCATGAGAATCTAATCCAATGATTTTATTTTAAGTAAAAGAAAGATACGTGTATTATATTTTTTTTTTCACAAAGCAGTCGCAATATACGATACGAGAAGAAATGGCAAATTTGCTTCAAATTCACTTCAGAATATATTGTATTACGCATTCTTGAATCCTGAGATTCACTTTAATCTGCATAACTGAGCCACCCGACTTCATACCAGCTTCCAAAATAGTGGCACCGCACGAGCTGCTCGAGAATTCAGATTAGATTCAGAGGACGCGCAAGCAGGCCTCGCTTATAACTCTATCGAGCGTGCATATTAGCATCGAGAAGAGGAAGATACCTCGCACGTCTTTTTACTCTCTTATTTCTAGGCGATCGATCGATTGACCAGAAGGTCGAAGAATCTCTCTCCGCATCATTCGTGCGCGACATCCAATAAGGCATCCAAAGCCCGACGATAGTCGAGGGATTTCGCAAGGTATAAACCTGCAAGAATGGCTCTGGCATGGAAATCGCGGATCGACGTCTACAATCGTCGAATAAGAATTGCCTATGTCCTTCCTTGTTATCCTATTCGATCCCACGTTTATTGTGTCATCGCACGAACGCGAAACCGCGTTTCGCGCAAGAGGGAGAAACAGTAATTGAAGGGCCGCGCTACTGCCCGAACGTGCCGCACGAGAATGCGGTTTTCGCAGCTGCAGCTGCACGAATCGAAGCGAAACGCAGTTAGCGGCACGTCGTACGTGCCACGCGATTTCTCGCGAGACCGTTCGGTCGCGTTGGCGCGAATTAATTACGACCCGGATATAACTCGGCGAAAATAACCGCCTTCCATCCGACGGTTATTTTCGCCGATGGAAAATGTTGCGGCTTGTCTGCTCGTGTGTGCGTACACACGTCAGAAATCACGATTATTATTTCCTGAACGCTCGCTACCAGCTGCATCTCTCGTCGACTATTTGCCGTGGTAAGTAAATGCCGCACTTCTCTACGCGACTTCTCCGGAACATCGGCGCGTTTTCGCTCTCACCTCTCGTGTTGCTTACGCGAGCGCTTATGTAATGTAATTACATTCCGCATGATGCATTCTGTACGGAAGAACGAATATCTTATATGTTACGCTAGTTCTACGAACTTTTCAATAACTACTCATCTGAAACATTTTTTCGATACCCTGAGAAAAATGTCCGTTCAAAAAGTAACAAACAGTAATTTATCGAATAGTCCTAAAATTTGATCGGATAGTCTTATAAATCCGATCAAAATCAATCGGAAATATTCGTTTGTTACTTTTTGAACGGATAAAGCCCGGAAATTTTTCTCGGTGTGGGGATAAAATACCGTCTTATATGAGAAATAAAAAAAGAATATATTTGTTAGAAAAAATGTGATATTGATATTATTAAAAATTAGGTTACTGTGCTCGCTATACACTGTGAAATTCATAATGTTAAATTATATCTAACTTGAATTATTTTTCATCATTTTTATAGGCCACATAATATATAGGCCATATAATATATTGTCAATTTAACTAAAATAATGAAATTAAACAATTTAAATCAAGAAAATGTATTTAATTTCTGCAGAGATGAACCGATTTACATTTTAATACATATAGAAGTTATAAAAATAACAACAAAATATAAATCGATCCATTTCTATAATTAGTTTTAAAGTAAATAGCGTTTATATTAACATAGTTAGTAAATCATACATTTAATTTGAATCCAATTTAATACATTTTCTTGATTTAAATCGTTTAATTTCACTGTTTTAGTTAAATTAACGACGCGACGTATTGAGTAGGAGCAGTGACCACCTACAGAAATGATTAAAAATAAATTAGATGTCACTTAATAATATAAAATATAACAATAAAATACAGATCTGAAAATAATTTCGTTAAACCATCAAAATAATTATATTATACGTTTAAACTAGTTATTAGAATGTCAAAATTTTTTCCAGTATTACTCATCGTGCTCGAGATTTCTACAAAATTATTTTCAGGTCTATATAAATTTTTAGATGCTTCAACAAAATCGTATATCGTAAACGTAATAGCTATGTAGACTGCACGTAGTATTTGTGCTCCGTTAGAAAGAATCGAACATATCAGCACCTCTCTTCAACTCGATACTTTAGAGAAAAAGAGTAATATGATTCAAACTATCTCACTCTTTCTAAATCGATAGTGACGACTTCAGAGAAATACGCAGTCTATTTTACAAAATACACGATCTGACAATAGATTTGTTCGCGTTGCTTGTACGAGTATAACTTTTTCCTTTTCAATCTAAATAAATATTTATCTCAAGTGCAAAGTATATATATTTACAAAATATATATTTATTTCGAGTGCAAAAATTTTTAGAAATTTCAAACAACGCGGACAAATCTCATCCACACTATATATCCACACTGTTCTTCTTTTTTTTACAATTTCTGATTTCTTTACGCTTTCGATTGCGGAGCTTGCGCGAATTCCGTGATTGGATCTAAGTCAATAGACGAAAGAACTGCAAACGGGGGGATCGGATCAATCAATCGTCCATCGTCGAAACGGATAGCGCCATAAATTCTATCTCACGAATTTCGACAGGTCCGTGTGTGCAACCAGGCGCAACTGCGGGCGAAACTGCAACTGCAAACCGACTGTAATTGGAAGGGCCGTGGGGCGTGTACTATGTACCCGTCGCGTATATGGAAGTTATCGCGTAGAAGGGCCGTGATCGAAATCGAAAACCTCCGGGCGCGTAACGGCAGCGTTTTCGGCATTCGAATTAGGCGCGTCGACACGTAACACTTTAATCGAATTGCCACACACATTCGAGCTGGCACTTGCAGCTGCAAGTTACAAACTTTCAATCGCGCGCAAATTGGCTATCATAAATCAACGCCATCGTCGTAAGTCGCGTACCTAAGTAATTCGAATATTACTTCCCGTGCGACTTCACAGAGACTACGCAAGCACCACGATTTTACCCTGATAGCACACTTTGTCCGGGATACATCCTGGGGATGTCTTTAGAATGTTCACATGATATACGTTAAGGGACGTTTTCTGTCCCTTGGAAGTATGTGTTGTTAGGGTACATATACTGTTAGATCTATAGAGAGAAAGAGTATCAAATTTAACTTAACTTAAGTCACCACTGCTCCTACTCAATATATCGTTATTTTAACGTTATTAAAACAATGATTAAATTAAAATTTTGACACGCTATAGATTTAACAATGTAATGTTTATATTCAATTTGCTAAATCTGGATTTGCAATTTTATATCAATTTTATACCAACTCGTGCAGTATGACAGACTAAACATAAGTTGCTTAGATTATATAATTTTAAGAATTAATATATCCCATGTATAAATTATAAATGTTAAATATAAGATAATCATTGGCCATTTAATTATGTACTGTAATTAGTTCTTAAAGAATTAAAGCATATAATTAAAATAATAAATGTTTGTAACATAATTTCATGGACGATTAAAAATAACATTCGTAATGATGCAAAACAATTTAACTGAGTGCAAATAAGAATACTGACAAATAGCGGTGTATCATTATAATTTTATCTAATTAGCGTAAAATTTGTATTCTTCATATATGTATAATTAATATGTAAATATACTTTCATTTAATTTACAATTAAATGCGTATTAATATTCATACTGCCTTTTCACGTCATGATTCAAATTACTTATTACTTTTGATAATTGAATTTAGAGCAATTTGACCTGTGAAAATACTGATAACACGATGTAATTAGAGCTCTATTTTACCTATGTAGTAAATATTTTGTTGTAATATTGTTCATTTCGATATATACAGAAACGCTTTAATCTGATGATATAAAACTCATTGACTGAAGTTTCGTTTCGAAAAAAATTACCACACGCGTAACATTTTACACCCGCATTAGTTTGAAAGACTATATACAGAGTGAAACTTTTGTGTGTTGTCCCTTGGATTTTCTCCACCTTTCTCGTGCATTCGTATTTGTACAGAAGTACCCACTGTGACAATAATCGTAAAAATGTTGTTTCCCGAAACGTAAAATCCGTTTCGTTAGTTTGAAAAAAGCTATCAGAGAATTTAAGCTGTCATAAATTCACAAATAGTGATGCTCACTCCGATTCTACACGACGACGTAAGCCCACAGCAATTTATTTCGATTAAATTTAATCACGAAGTGACATGTTTTTTAATTTGTATTTATAAAGCTGATATAAAAAAAAACTTGAGAAAATAGATCCAAAGTGTGTCGGAAAAATTTAACCCCACGTCTGTAGCAAGTTGATCATACTCTGGAGTGAAAAGGGAACTTTCGATTTAAGAAACCTTTGTTTACCAAATCACGTTACTAGATTTTTGCTAACGACTTTATGGGGAGTTCGCAGATTTCATTTCCGAGTGGGCCGTAAATCCTAGAAACTTTTCAAATTAAATTTCTAAATTGCGCTTGATCTAGCACAGGGCACTCTCGGTCTCGCTTAACTACCTTCCTTTATTTTTCAAGCAGGCGAGAAAGTCCGGACAGTTTGACGAGCGTTTACTGAGTTTCGTTCGGGAATTCTCGGCGCGCAACTTTCGGAAGTCCTGGTCGAGAAGTCCTATGGTGGAAATAATGAATTGCTTCGCACTACGGATGATAAATGTGGCTTTGATAAATCGCAACATCCGCCACTAAATTTGTACTATGATATAATGAAAATGTGCTCGTACAGCTAAAGCTTTCCATCTTGCCTGTTATCAGGATTAATGAACTCAACTCGAAAGGTAGCGTAAGTAAGAGAGATTTGCAATTTCATTATAACTTCAACTAAAAATATCTAAAACTTTTTGTCGTGAAAAATAAACTGTTTTTCTGTTTCTCAAGAA